GTTGGTGATCTTGGCTTTCCAAAGCCGCCTATACTTTTTAGCTTATAGCAACGTTTGTCCATTTTGCCAAGACTTCCACCCCTGTTCAGCATTCAGAGAGGCTGGTTAGGTAGGTGGGCAGCTGCCTTCCCCTGGTCCTTTTGTTTTTCATAGGTCCTGTAAGTGTCAAATTCTCCAAGCCCTCCTTCCTCATTATACGTCCCGGTTGCCTCTTTCTGGGTATAAGTGTCGTTTTAGTTTCAATTTTCAGAAAGACTTACTCGTTGTTCATATGTTCCCTCCATGGTATTCTCAGTATCCTCCTGTAGAACCACATTTCTGTGGTCTCTCGTTTTCAGTTCATCTGCGAAGAAATTGTCCAACATTCACTGCCCTATATCGGCAGATTGATATTACATAAGATTTCAGAGCAAATACTTAATTGGTTAGCAAGTTTGTCTCGCTAAATCACTTACAACTGAAAAGTAAGTTCGATCATCACTGGGTGCTCAAAACGTTCGGCCTTTTGCCACATCTAAGCTACGCTTAGGAAATCGCCGTAACAGTTCAGCGATTTTGATTTGATTCTAACAAATTTTTCCTGTTTCTTAATAGTTTGCTTAGTTTTTTTTTGGGGGGGAGGTGTTTTTTATTATTCGAAAGCACGTTTGCATTTCGTTGTCGTATTTTTCATTTTAATCACTTACCATATACTTAAACTTCTATATGTATTTTATGTCGGACACCTCGAGGTGGTGTAATGGTTAGCAAGCTTGTCTCGCTAGAACAATTACGACTGAGTAGTGAGTTCGATCCTCACTGGGTGCTCCCTAATTTCGGCCTTGTGCCACATCTAAGCTACGCTTGGAAAACACTATATGGATTTGATGTTGATATCTTCCTCTCGTAGTTCGTTTATAGGATATAGTAAAAAGAATTTCTTTAAATTTAAGTCGACTTCGCAACATATTTTCATCTAGAGTCAGGTTACTTTCGGGTCTGGAACGACGGTTGGTCTGTGTCTTTCTTCCTTAGGAATACGAAGAAGAGATAAAATAAAAATGTAGCATAACAGTTGAGAGTTCAGAAAATGAAATCAACATACAAGAGATAGTGTTTGCGCTGACTTGCATTTAAAAAGACATGGATCCACTTCTTTCTCCATTCAATCCAATTCTCAAATATACTGGATAACTGGAGTACAACAGAAACTTGGATAGGCAAGTGAGCCCTTGAGAAAAAAAAATCTTACTTTATATGATTATTTTACCTGTCCAGGCTTGAAGAGCAAAATCCGAACGACCCTGTTACACACATTGTTAACCCTGACAGGGGTTTGTATTTACTTGACTCCCCACTGAGTCAGGTTGTGACACAAGGTCGGTTTTTAACGTGGGGACCCAAGTGTCTTTACTCGAGCCGCTGGTCTAAGCACGTCATAGCTTGTCCAAGCTAGTCATAGCTGATCTAAGCTGGTCAGAGCCGGTCCAAGCTAATCATAGCTGTGATATTACCAGTGCAAGAACGGATCCCTGTGACCGGTAAGTATCCGAATGTGTATGCCCCTCGAGGAAGGGGTTTACACACTGAACCCTGACAGGTGTTAATATCAAAATTAACAAATCAAAATATCGGTAATACATGCTTTTCTCTTTCTTTCTCGACTAACCATCCACAACTGTCCTATATGCTCTATGTTCAAACGTATTTAAATTATCCTCGAGGTTCCATCGTCTTCTGTTTTTATTCAGAAATGTGATTCAAATTTGCTGTCCAAATAAATCATCTTTACCTAGAACTTGTGAACAAAGAATGTCTCTAGACATGAACTTTTCAATTGCTTAATTACATTTTTAGTAATTCAATTCCAAATTTCAAGGCAAAAACAACAAAAAAGATATATACTTTTTCTTCAATGTGCTATATAACTTCGGTCTTCACAATTTCTTGTCCGCTGCAGCGCTATGGAAATTCTGTCATTTTGTTATCTTTTCTTAACACTGTTCTATCAACCATTTATACAAGCTTGTTAGATTATGAACTGTCTTCCTCTATCCCTCTTGCCTTTAATATGTCCTATGAGTGTTCAAATTTCTAAGCCTTCTTTCCTCATTATATGCGTTAAACATTTCAATTATTTCTTTCTGATGTTAAGTAAAAGTGTCCTTTTTGTTTACATTTTCTCTAAAACGTCGCCATTGCCCACATATTCAGTTCATGGTATTCTCAGTATCCTTCTGTAGAAAAACATTTCTGTTGACTCAAGTCTCTTCTTCATCTATAGGAGGACTGATATTACTTACGGCAAAGAAAGTATTTGGAAATATATTGATTGCCTTGACTCTGAAAATAGTAGTGAACAATTTTCGTACTTGCATTATTTACAATATTCGAACTGTTATCCTCATCTTCATTGCTATATTCACAACGTTTCCGCCGTTGTACGCTCCTGCCTTCTTCAGGTGATTGAAGTTAAGTGGATAAAGATCTTTGCTTAGGTCCAGTCACTCGACACAAAGATTTGTGAGTTCAATACCAGGCTACAGCAGCGGTGAACAAAAAAAAGAAAAAATGGAGAATTGAGTTAAAGGGAAATAACTGAGACATTCGATAGAGGCATGGCAAGGGGAACTAGAACAATCTACACCAGTGAACGAAATAAATGGTTCAGTTCAGTGACCTGAAGAAGGCCGCAGTGTACAATGGCCGAAACGTCGTGAATAGGACAGTGAAGATGAGGATAACAGTCCGAATAATGTTAATAAAGCAAGTAATCATAATACCTCATCTCAGAGATATAAACAGATAATGAAATAGACAAAGTCCGACAATTATTTTAAGACATTTTTTATGTTTATACATTCTTTTTATAGATACAAATATTTAAGTAAATGCTCATAATAAACAGGCCGGTAAATGTTAATACTGTTTATTATAAATAGAGCAGTTACTTAAATATTTGTATCTATAAAAAGAATGTATAAACATAAAATGTCTTAAAATAATTGTCGGACTTTGTCCATTTCATTTATATATATATATATATATATATATATATATATATATATATATATATATATATATATATATATATATTTGTATCTATAAAAGAATGTATAAACATAAAAATGTCTTAAAATATAGACAGATATTGAAGGAAAATTCCAATCACCTGAAGAAGACCGGAGCGTACAAAGGCCGAAATGTGAATATAGCAATGAAGATGAGGATAACAGTCGGAATAATGTAAATAATGTAAGTAATCATGATACCTCATCTTAGAGATAAACAGAACTTTCGTACTTGGAAAAAGTTTTAGCAGGATGTGAATTTCCTATCGAACTTGTGCAATATATTATGAATGATTTGAAGTTAGAATTTCAACAAGAGATTTCATTGATAAGAATTTGAAAACTATTTAAATACATGATTAATGATTTTTCACCAAATCTACAATTAAAAGGTGCTGCTAAGAGGCAAACATCCTGCCAGATAAAAGTGGCTCTGTTTTTAAATCTTTGGCACGAAACTTTCAGCATTTAGCAACACATATTTTCATCTGGTTTGGTGGCCCAGCCATATATCTCGACTCTTGAGAAAATCCAAAGAAAGATCCAAAATTTTATCGGTCCTGACATGGCATCTCATCTTCAATCCCTTTCCCACCTCCTTGACATTATTTCCCCCTAATACTCGATTGGCAATTAGGTCTCATCTTTTACTGCTGAACTAGTTAGATGCTACCGTAAGTTCTATTCTAATAATTTCTGTCCTCGCACTTCTCGGCTGTGGAACTCTCTTCCGGTTTACTACTTCCCTGTCACCTACGAGCTTCAAAAATTTAAATGCAACGCCAATCTCAACCTCCCGTCTTCCTGACTCTTGTTCTTTTATTGTCCTGTCTCCTCACTAACGTATTCTGATTATACTTCCCTCTCAGCCACTCTTTGCGTTTTTATCGCCTTTTTCTGAGGTGAAAGGATTAAAAAAATTATTTTTCCGTGAAAATCAAGCATTCCTGACTTTTCAATATTTTCAAATATTCTTAAATGCCTATAATTGACAACAGAAGTTTATTTGTTTATACCAACGGCTTCCCATACTTAATACTTCTCGTTTTCACTCTCGCGTGGTCATGTGTGACGTCATGAGCTGCGACGCGATTTTCGCTTCCGCGTCTCGTATACACGAGTTTGTCGTTGCTTTGAAATTTTTCATGCAAAAAAAAAAAAAAACAGATTACCATCATTGTTTCGTCCGTGTATTGTTTGATATATTGAAATGTAATTGTCATCTTTGATAATGGCTTATGTAAGCCGAAAGCTCAGATAGGATTAAAACATGTATCAATATGGTGATTTCCTTTCGTCTTTCAATGATAATGTTAAGATTATCAGACAATATAAAAGGAACTTACTTAAAATAAATAGACAAAACTTGTCTATATTATTTAATGAAACATGCATCAATGAAAAATTGCTGCCTAAATATACATAATATATATAATTTCCTTTCATTAGTTAAATAATAACTGTAGATTAGATTTTGCATAAAGTCACAACTATATGTCATTCAGTAAACGCCTAACTCAAAACTCTGTAGCAATGAGTAACCAAACAATTTAATTAACCATTACTCCACGTTTTGGTACCCCACTTTGGCGTAGTGGTTGCAAGATCTGTCATCGCAATTTCCGAAAGCAAAAGCAGCTTTGTGAAGGGACATTTTCGAGTGGCTTTCCATTATTGGATGCCGTGGAAATCTTAAAGACTCCTGTGTTCTTAAAAAGTGTTACCATTCCAGCCCCTATCTTCGAGACGGAGTTATTACAAGTGGCAGCCAACGCGAAAAACAGCCGTTACTTTTCGAAACAATGTGGGACGCGGTGGGGAGATTATTGTGCTTTTGGTGATAGGTTGATAGCTGTCATTCTGGCCCAGGGAGCTCGACATAAAAAGAGGATTTTGTGCTGGGTCGGGGGTGGGGGTCGGAGAGGAGGAGAAATGAGAAAATAATAGAAGCTAAAATGGCAATAGGAAAATACTTGAGAAAGAAAGAATACAGGAAAGAAAGATGATATATGAAATGAAAGAGAGAGAAAAAAGAAAGAAGATATATAAGATGAAAGAGAGAAGGTAAGAAAGACGATATATAAGATGAAAGAGAGAGAGTAAGAAAGACGATATATAAGATGAAAGAGAGAAGGTAAGAAAGACGATATACAAGATGAAAGAGAGAATGTAAGAAAGACGATATATAAGATGAAAGAGAGAAGGTAAGAAAGACGATATATAAGATGAAAGAGAGAAGGTAAGAAAGACGGTATACAAGATGAAAGAGAGAAGGTAAGAAAGACGATATATAAGATGAAAGAGAGAAGGTAAGAAAGACGATATACAAGATGAAAGAGAGAAGGTAAGAAAGACGGTATACAAGATGAAAGAGAGAAGGTAAGAAAGACGATATACAAGAAGAAAGAGAGAAGGTAAGAAAGACGGTATACAAGATGAAAGAGAGAAGGTAAGAAAGACGATATACAAGAAGAAAGAGAGAAGGTAAGAAAGACGGTATACAAGATGAAAGAGAGAAGGTAAGAAAGACGATATATAAGATGAAAGAGAGAAGGTAAGAAAGACGATATATAAGATGAAAGAGAGAAGGTAAGAAAGACGATATATAAGATGAAAGAGAGAAGGTAAGAAAGACGATATACAAGATGAAAGAGAGAAGGTAAGAAAGACGATATATAAGATGAAAGAGAGAAGGTAAGATAGACGATATACAAGATGAAAGAGAGAAAGTAAGAAAGACGATATACAAGATGAAAGAGAGAAGGTAAGAAAGACGATATACAAGATGAAAGAGAGAAGGTAAGAAAGACGATATACAAGATGAAAGAGAGAAGGTAAGAAAGACGATATACAAGATGAAAGAGAGAAGGTAAGAAAGACGATATACAAGTTGAAAGGGAGAAGGTAAGAAAGACGATATATAAGATGAAAGAGAGAAGGTAAGAAAGACGATATATAAGATGAAAGAGAGAAGGTAAGAAAGACGATATACAAGATGAAAGAGAGAAGGTAAGAAAGACGATATACAAGATGAAAGAGAGAAGGTAAGAAAGACGATATATAAGATGAAAGAGAGAAGGTAAGAAAGACGATATACAAGATGAAAGAGAGAAGGTAAGAAAAGACGATATATAAGATGAAAGAGAGAAGGTAAGAAAGACGATATACAAGATGAAAGAGAGAAGAAGTAAGAAAGACGATATACAAGATGAAAGAGAGAAGGTAAGAAAGACGATATACAAGATGAAAGAGAGAAGGTAAGAAAAGACGATATATAAGATGAAAGAGAGAAGGTAAGAAAGACGATATATAAGATGAAAGAGAGAAAAGGTAAGAAAAGACGATATATAAGATGAAAGAGAAGGGTAAGAAAGACGATATATAAGATGAAAGAGAGAAGGTAAGAAAAGACGATATACAAGATGAAAGAGAGAAGGTAAGAAAGACGATATACAAGATGAAAGAGAGAAGGTAAGAAAGACGATATACAAGATGAAAGAGAGAAGGTAAGAAAAGACGATATATAAGATGAAAGAGAAAGGTAAGAAAAGACGATATATAAGATGAAAAGAGAGAAGGTAAGAAAGACGATATACAAGATGAAAGAGAGAAGGTAAGAAAGACGATATACAAGATGAAAGAGAGAAGGTAATGAAAAGACGAAGAATATAAGATGAAAGAGAGAAGGTAAGAAAGACGATATATAAGATGAAAGAGAGAAGGTAAGAAAGACGATATACAAGATGAAAGAGAGAAGGTAAGAAAGACGATATACAAGATGAAAGAGAGAAGGTAAGAAAGACGATATACAAGATGAAAGAGAGAAGGTAAGAAAGACGATATATAAGATGAAAGAGAGAAGGTAATAAAGACGATATACAAGATGAAAGAGAGAAGGTAATAAAGACGATATACAAGATGAAAGAGAGAAGGTAAGAAAGACGGTATATAAGATGAAAGAGAGAAGGTAAGAAAGACGATAGACAAGATATTAAAGAGACGGAATGAAAGACAATACATAAGATATAAGGGAGAGAGAAAAAAGACGGTATATAAGATGAATGAGAGGAGGAAAGAAAGACAATATATAAGATAAAAGAGAGAGGGAAAGAAAGACGGTATATTAGATGAATGAGAGGAGGAAAGAAAGACAATATATAAGATAAAAGAGAGAGGGAAAGAAAGACGGTATATTAGATGAATGAGAGGAGGAAAGAAAGACAATATATAAGATAAAAGAGAGAGGGAAAGAAAGACGGTATATTAGATGAATAAAAGAAAGACAATATATAAGCAAGGAAGAGAGTCTACAGATAAGATAAAATGAAAGAAAGACGATATTTATTTACTAATGTTCTCCCAATACAAGACAGAAGAGCCACTCGAGGTAGAGGATTAGTGTGTGGTGTTGTATGAGCGTAAGAAAAAGTAGGAAGGCAAGTTCTTGGTGTTATGCAGAAGAGATAATGAGCAAATATAAAGTTGAAGAGGTCAAGGTTTAATTAGGGTATGACATTTCAGAGTTAAGTCGGAGACGTTAGAAGTATAGAGTGGGGAAGAGATTTTAACAGGAACCGGAAAGCCAAGCCTAAACCGGAAACCAGAGATAAACCTCTAATTCTGTTCAAAAGATCAAGGAAGAGTGTGAACCGGACGATAAAATAAAAAGATAAAATAAAAGAAAGAATGAATGACGAAGTAAAAGTAACAATGAAGGAAAGACAAAGTAAAACAAAGAAAGAAAAAATGAACAAGTAAAATAAAGAAAGAAAGACGATTTAAAAGAAAGAAAGAAAGACGAAGGAAAAGAAAGAAAGAAAGATGAAGTAAAAGAAAGATAGAATGACGAAGGAAAAGAAAGAAAGAAAGAATGAGAAAGGAAAAGAAAGAAAGAAAGAAAGAAAGAAAGAAAGACGAAGGAAAAGAAAGAAAGATGAAGTAAAAGAAAGATAGAATGACGAAGGAAAAGAAAGAAAGAAAGAAAGAATGAGAAAGGAAAAGAAAGAAAGAAAGAAAGAAAGAAAGAAAGACGAAGGAAAAGAAAGAAAGAAAGATGAAGTAAAAGAAAGATAGAATGACGAAGGAAAAGAAAGAAAGAAAGAATGAGAAAGGAAAAGAAAGAAAGAAAGAAAGACGAAGGAAAAGAAAGAAAGAAAGATGAAGTAAAAGAAAGATAGAATGACGAAGGAAAAGAAAGAAAGAAAGAATGAGAAAGGAAAAGAAAGAAAGAAAGAAAGACGAAGGAAAAGAAAGAAAGGCGACAGATAAGATTTAAAACAGATAAAAGCAAGAAAGAAAATATTTTGAAAAAAACCTGCTTTGAAAATCAGGATTTGAAACTCAACCATCCAGATTTTGACTATTATTTCTGGATTTCATCTGAAAAAAGCCTACTTATGACTCATATAGGGTACAAAGAATGTCAAAAGTATATATTTATAGAATAAATGGTTTAAACCCTTTATTCTGCATTCAACATCATCACTCGATAAGACACCAGAAGTGTTGAAACAAAATGGCTATTTTTGTAATGATTTTATAACATATATATATATATATATATATATATATATATATATATATATATATGTAAAAGACAATAGGAAAACTGTAATATTAGCTGACGTGTTTCGTCCAATGTGGACTTTTTTAAGGCAAAAACGAAATGAATTTATTAAAACAAAGTAACTAATAATAACAAAATGTCCTTAGCAACTGGAAGAATTTAGAGAACGCTATTATATTCATATTGTCAACTGAAAATTACGTCAAGTAGTGTTACGTGTTGAAATATTGTTTTTATTGTTGTGTTGACGGATTCAACAATTTCCTTTTGATTTCTTGATACAGTTGTGTACGTTTGCTTGGGGTGGGGGAGTAGTAATTATGTTAGGAAAGGTGAAATACGGAAAAAAAAGCCTGGGCGTAGATTAATATTTGTACCAAGAAATCAAAAGAAAATAGTTGAATGCCTGCCTTATGTTGATTTGCAATAGAAGTCGTATCTTCTAGTATCACGTCTTTTTTTTTAATTCTCAAAGCCAATTAATGAGGCAAATGACATCCCCTGTATATAAGACCAAGCATTCAAGATGTCAATAGCTTTCAACGCCGATTTCGAAATAAGACTACAATTCAGTCACCGCCTCACGATATATGCACATTATCTTGCAAAAGTGAATATCTTGTCCCATGTTAAGTCTCCGTTCCCTCAGGACTTATCTCTCGCCTTCCCAGATATTTATTTACCATTTCATGCCGATAGGTACACGTGGCTGGCCACTTAATTTCACGATCGCTGTACATTTAATGTTATTTCCCGCGTTTTAGAAGAGCCTGCGGTAAAGTCTACATTTTGCTATTGACTGGAAACTAACCGAACATTTATCTTGTGGGTATTGGAATTTTGATTGAACTAGAGGGTCCAAACTACCAAGAGAAGGAAAAAAGGAGAAGAGAAAATAAATAAATAAGACACAAGAATTCTTTAGTTCCAAATGGTATGAAAATCGGTAAATTCTTGTTTCGGAGCCTGTGCTTTGAATTTATCTTCAATTCAGTTTAAAATAAAAACTACTCTTAACAAAAAGCGATTAGTAAGTAATAATTTTCGTTGGATTTATTACAAGTAAGATTATGAAAACTCACAAAATTTGGATTAAACGAGCAAATTTAAATATTTTCTTTTAATAAAATGCATTTCTTCTCAATAAACATTAAATAATTTCTTGTTGTTATTAATATAATATCAATATATTAATATAATATTTATATACATATTTGGATATATATATATATATATATATATATATATATATATATATATATATATATATATATATATATATATATATATATATATAAGATTAAAGTTTGAAATAACCCCAGTATTAGCATGGGATGAATTTCACAGAAGAGTGAAAAAGAAAAGTGAAAAAGAGCTCTTAAAGTCATTGAAAAAAGAATGGGATCAATTATCAAACTTATACTTTGAGAAACTTTGCAACGAATGCCAAAAATTTGTGCTGCAGTAATCAAGGCTAAAGGAAGTTATTTTGATGGGAATAAAATTTAATCATAAAATACTTTTATTTTGTTTTGTCATTATTAAATTTCTAATAAAAAATCATACCTCGCTTTTTTTATATCAATTTTCTTTTATTTATAATACAAAAAAACAACTATTTTTGGAAAAATTGTAAAATTACCATGGATCGCCTCAAAATTTTGGACTATAATATATATATATATATATATATATATATATATATATATATATATATATATATATGCGTATAAATCACCGTAATAGGATGTTTTCTCGACAAATGGCATTACACTGGCTGTACTTAGAACAGTAATTGAAAATACGTATACAGAAATCCCAGAGGACACTTTGGCCACTGTTGCTTGGGACTAGTCCCAAATATTAGTCCTCCGTACTAATAAATTTCTCGTGCTCAAGGCCACCATTTTGAGAATCTCTTGTGATTGTCGAGTCCAAATGTAATTTGTATTAATCTCGTGATGTCTGAATAAATTTAGTACTACAATATCTATACAAGTTTTTCCTTTCTTGAAGTATGTGTGCATTTGGAGGCTGACTCTGTATATATGGGATAAAATAAAGAATAATTATCTTATCATCCTGACGAATTTCGATGTATATTTGATCCTTGACTTTTATAACTTCGGTTTTTGAAACAGGGTGATTCCTGTGTAGCGAAGAAACCATATTTTAAATCAGTTAATTTATAATATATGTGCTCTGTAAATTTACATTGAGCACTGTTTTGTAAAAATAAAAATATCAATAAGAACACCGGATTATATATCTTGCTGTTCTTTCTTTTTATTATATATATATATATATATATATATATATATACTCGACTCTCCCCCGTCGAATTCAACGTATGAGGGTCAAGCAAATCAGTTCCTAGGAAACCAACAGCCCCACAACAGCACATGAGATTTGATTATAGTGGTGAAGGCCTCGTGCAGGACCATCCAAACTTTTTGAAGGGCCGAATAGAGAGACTTGGTGCACTAAGTGCCACAAGGTCCCCAAACGACCCTCCGCAGGTTTTGAATTCCGAGTTGTCCTTCTCCTAGACCAGTTGCCATTCAAGGCTATAGAACCCAGTCTGTTCTGCTATTTTACCCATAGCTGGAAGGAGAAGAAGAGGATTCACACCTTTCCAAAGGGTATTAGCACGTAAGTGAATGTAATGGATTCGACTGGAATTCGAACTCTGCTCTCCAATTCCTCAATCCAAGCCGCTATCTATTTCTCCACTGTGCCTCCAGAAATCTTCTTACAGATTTATAAGTCTACCATGTGTATTTGCTTTTAATATTGCTGAAACATCTATTCTGGTTCTCCTGTTATATATTTAGAGATTCTTGATAACATCGAAAGAAAAATTTGCAATGTTATTGATCCTGACCTGGCATCTCGGCATCAGTCATATTCCCTTCGCCTTTCTATATATACTTTCATAGTAATTCTTCTTCTGAGCTTTCATCTATCGTACCTAGACGTTATGAATTTAAGTGCACTAAAAGATTGCTGGCAAGGTCTCATATAAAATACACATTGGTACTTTCGGGTCTTTTTCGCCATCTTTGTTGTCTTTATTACAGAATAATCGTCCTATATGAGATAGTATTAGAAAGTTTACGGTGTGTACCTGCTTTGACATTAATATTGATACCTGACCTACTGAGGCAGTCTACCAATTCGCCTCCTGCTATCTTTTCGCTTCCAGTTATTGTACCTAAAATCGTCCTCCGTCTTTAGACACTTAAACTAATTTTATCACCAACACTCACTATCTTAGGTCATATGTTTTATTTCGGGGTGGTTACTCTTACTTCTTCCGACTCTATAATTATATTTACACAAACAACATTATTATTATTTTATTCCCTTTGATTTCTGGTGTATACTCATTTCTTTCCGGGTCCCGCCCAGAAAGACTAACGTCAGAAATAGCATCATGACATTTTCCAATGATTAATAAAAAAAAAAAAAAAAGAAAAAGCGACATATTTTACATGGATAAAGCCCTTCGTAAGATGTAGGCTGTAATCCTGAAAACAATTTTTTTGTGTTTCTTTAAGGCATGGCCAACCAGGAATCCTTTCGATGAGTCTACTGGAATATTTTCCAATCAACCCGAGGGCTCCAACTACAACAGGGATTGTTGATGTACCCATGTGCCACATTTTTGAGATTTCGATTTCAAGATGTTTGTATTTTGATAGCTTTTTGAAGATCTTTAAAGATCTATTGCAGCGCGCAGGGTCTGCCATATCAATAAGGAGGAAACTTTTTTGTTTGCCGTCTCTAATGACGATGTCTCGCCGATTACCTTTGGTTGTTCTGTATATATTGTGTAGTCTCTTAAAATTGTTATAGAACATATATCCGTAACCTTCTCTGGTTGGTGTTCATACCAATTATTATTAGTATTATTATTATTATTTCTTTTTCTTCCTTTGATTTCCGTTGTCCACAGATTTCCTTCCAAGTGCCAAGGTTAGAAATGGCTTCATGACATTTGTGCTGCATTGGATATTGCTGCCAAATATGGTCTGGAGTTCCTGTTATATATTCAGAGATTCTTGATAAAATACAATGAGGAATCTGCACTGCTGTTGATGTTGATCTCGTATCACAAGTCCAGTCACCTCCGCGCCCCTGACTCCGTAACGTAGCTTCTTGGTGCCTTTTTTTTTCTAAATACTTTCATGTTAATTACTCTGATGAACTTTCCTCTATGTTAGCTAGTCTTTATAAATTTAAGTGCAGTACTAGATTGGCTGCAAGGTCTCATCATTTTACAGTTGAAATGGTCAGATGTAAAATGTATCATAATAGTTTCTTCTCTCGCACTTCACGCTTGTGGAACACTTCCGGCTTCTGGCTTCTCAGTCAACTTTGACCTTCGAAAATTTAGATGCAGTGTCAATTTTCCGTTGTACGCTCTGGCTTTCTTCAGGTGGTTGGAAGGCTGGAGCGTGCAACGGCCGAAACGTTGTAATAAATAGGGCGACAGAGATGAGGACAATAGTCTGAATAATGTAAATAGTGTACATAATACCTCATCTCAAAAATATAGACAGATCCTGAAGGGCCAAAATGTTGTAATAAATATGGCGATAAAGATGAGGACAATAGTTCGAATAATGTAAAGAGTGTGCAGTGTCAATTGTTATCTTCTGTCTATCTCTCCTTTTATTGTTCCCTCTCCTTAATAATTTTTTTCAGATACTTTCACACTCAGTAACCCTGTGCGTCTTAGGGGTTTTATTCTCTTGCTTCGGCTGAAATGATTAAAAAATGAAAAAATGAATCTATAGAATACTGCGAACGTCCAATCTGTAGATAGGCCTATGGTTTCAGGTATAGCTGAATCAGAAGTAAAACGTACCAACTCCAATTGAATTTAATTAAATAAACGCGAACTACATTTGAGAATAAGACGATCGAAACTATAAACGCCATGTTATGCTCAAATATTCCATTCAGTTAATTAAATATAGGAATCAACGCAAGAAACTTACCGAATGTGATAGACGGCTGAAAACGAAGTCATATAATGACAAAGATGAAGAAACTGCTACTAAAAAGTATTTCTTGCTGTTCGTTTCGCTTTGAGGCTTTCACTTCCTGTGGCCCCAGTATCGTGTTATAGTGGTTGATGCTTATATTGGTATCCCTTTTTTTTCTTTTCTTTTTTTTTTTTAAATTATTAATAGAAATTTCTCTTAGCCCCCCAGACTAGGGTGGGGCATTTATTAATAGAAAAGCGAATAGTAGCTTAAGTTCTGTGATATATTTTAGGTTGTTAGGCTTCTAGCCTCCGCGTCACTTCCGATTAGTGGTGGCAGTGAATTTATGAATATTGGCCTCTGAAAAAATCTGATGGCCACTTTTGCGATGTCGTCGTCGTCTCGTCTTGCTCAGTGGGATTTTAAATCAACTGTTGGCTAATTATTTTTGACACATTTAATATACCTATGAAGTAGAAAAAAAAAAGATACACGGGATGTAGTGAGTGTTGTCGGCCCGACCAGTAAGAGATTCTTAAAAAAAAACCAAAAAAAAACTGAAGCAATAATGTTTGATATTTCGTCAGATCTTCGTAAGTGAGTCGAACTGAGAACTTTTCTCCCTGAACTGACATATAATGATAGAATGGGATATGACAGGATTTTAACGTGAGGAATATACGTTTCGTACTGTGTCTAATATTTTTATAAAGTATTAATGTTTGCATTTTAAGGAACTGTGTTCCTGATCAAACCGAATTCATAAATAATTACATCAGTCACACAAGTACATGCCTATCCAGACGACTTATGTGACACCTATCTGACCACAGATTCTGTTAGAATCCATTTAAACACATATACAAACTTACCAGATAGCATCCGAAACATACTAGTAGAAAATACAAACATAATAAGTTCATCCACATGCAAAAAATGATCGAAAATAATGGAAGCCTTAATAATAAAAAAAGAAAAAGCAACACAATAATATTAACTACGAACACGGTCACAATGTGCTAACTGTGTTCGGAAAATAAAACATTTCTATAACACTAAAAACATACACACAACGCATACACCCAATTAAATTGAAAAAATAAAATCATAATTGATAATGGCTAAAAGTAGAGCCGAAAGCGCTCGGAGTTTCGGAGTTATAGAAGATTTGGACAGATTCTACACCCTCTATGTCCCAAGAAGAAAACACTTGTTCGAACACAAGGAAAAATAAATAAAAAGGTTATTCGTAGTACCTTGCCCGTCCTTTTTAATGAAACATGCATAAATAAAGGATTGCTGTCTAAATACATTGTATATATATATATATATATATATATATATATATATATATATATATATATATATATATATATATATATATATCAGGCGTAACAGCAAAATTGTTCAAATCGTGTAACAGCAGAATTGTCCAATTGTTAGATTAAGCTTAGAACCGTTTTAATATAGAAATGATTAAAGATATCTTACTGGAATTCTCCGAGGTTTTTTATAACACCATTGGACTTTAGTTTGAAGAATAAGAATGTATTTAGCTCTAAATTGAAATGATGATCACTCTTCCTGTTGTGACCTCCTGATCTTGTTTTCCTCTCTACTGTTGCCTCCTTTTGAAAACTTATTCAACGTTCTCTTGATGCTTCCTGAATGGACTTTGAACATAGAAGCTAGAGTATGAAGACTCGTATCATTACTGAAGGCCTGAATGATCTTTTCCCTCTCAACATTACCCAGTTAGGAAGACATAGTGAGGATGACACAAAATGATTTTAACCTGTTCTCTTTTTAGCTGAATAACTCAGGGTTTCGCATGTTTCGTGTTTTTTTTAGATATTAAACATTTTGTGGGATGGACAATTATAGCAGGATTTGGACAATTTTCTGTGACAACCCACATATGTTATATGTTTACTTTTATTGGACAACGAATCCTTCTGAAGATGTCTTACACAAAACTGTTTGTTTTAAAGAATATGCTCCGTTATTTTTAAAACAATATATAAACTTTGTGGTATAAAGTTTTCGTTAATATATATATATATATATATATATATATATGCGTGTGTGTGTGTGTGTGTGTGTGTGTGTGTGTGTGTGTGTGTGTGTGTGTGTGTGTGTGTGTGTGTGTGTGAAAAGTGTGTGTATATAAATATAAATATATATATATATATATATATATAATTATTTATATATTATATGCGCGGTACTTATTAGAAAGCGCTCAATATCAGAGATAGAGCTAACATATTTGGTTGGATAGATGTGAGTTTGTGACCCTGGGTTTCACGCTTATCTCTGACGATCGCAAAAGCGTGAAACCCAGGGTCACAAACTCACATCAATCCAACCAAATATATATATATATATATATATATATATATATATATATATATATATATATATATATATATATATATATATATATATATATATATATATATATACACAGTGATTGAACAGTAATTTCCTATTTTATGTATGATGAAATCTCCTGTCTTGTAGAAATTATACTTTGACGGGTGAGTTCATCATTCATAAAATAGGGAGTTATTTTTCAATCACCCTGTACATTCAGATGTTATTAAAATGGATTCTTTGTATTGGAAATAGACGTCGTAATTTTATTTATCAAACAGTGTATATTAATACACACTGATTATTAAATAAAAATAGGGCGTCTATTTAAAATACGAAGAACCCACTACACTTACTTTTGAAATGATAAAAATGTTGGAATGATATATATCCATTAATTCTTTAAGAAAAAAATGTGTGTGTATGTGTTTTGTGTCTCTGTCTGCGTGTGTGAGGGTTGGCTGGATGTGTGCTTGAATGTGTGTACTCATTGACTAGTGAATTAAATACACGTGATCAAATTCTCTTTTATTCAATTATCTAATCAGCCAATGACATGACAGGAATTTATTCGACATAGCTATTTACATATGGTCATGGTGACCTTCTGAACTTCTTTTCTTGCATTAGTATGGCAGCTGAAGATTCCATGAAAAGTGAACATTACTCTCATGTTTATGGTAAGTGATACTGTGTGAAACATTTCAAAGACAGAAGAAAAGAATTTTGTGGAATTGGTAATTCAAGGAAGTTTTTATTACTTTTAAGGTAGACGGTTTTAATGAATGACAAAAAAGGAAAAATTCTGTGTAACTCTTTCCGTTCTCGATGCATGCTTTTTGATAATTTCGACATTCCGTAATATAGTACCCAGAGTAAAATACGGGTAACATTTGGGGGTTGGCATTCAAATGGGAAAGGAATTGTCAGGGAACAAGGGCATTGTCAAACACAGTTTGCACACTCAGTAGGAAAGCAAAGCATATAATATAAATAATATGAGCGTGAATGTACAACATGATATTTTAAGAAAAGATTTTTACGAAGTGGAATCTGTTCACTTCTTAGAAGGCGAAATAGATGCAAAAACGCCAAGGTTTTCGCTCGTAACAAAAGGCAGTAAATAGCCTCATCCTAGCGAAGTGATGTTTAACGACCTGTTCTATTGACTCATTACAATTAAAAAGTGAGTTTAATCCTCACTGGGTGCCCTATTCGTCTGGCCTAAATTAAGCTAAACTGGGTAAATATCTTAGGTGTCTCCACATGTGATAATCGTGACGGAGATTAGTCTGGCAAACCATTACTACTGAGTAGTTTATTCGAGTCTCACTAGGTGCTCTATACTTAAGGCATTGCGCCAAACTAATCCAATCTTATTAAATAACTAATATCTTTGTGAACCACAGCGTAACATAAGGTTTAGAAACCTAGTCTGGTTGACCATTATTACTGAATAGCGCATTTAAATTTCGATGGGTGCTCCATACTTAAGGCCTTGTGGCAAACTAATCCAAGCTTATTAAGTAACTAATATCTTTAGGAACCTCCGCATAACATAGGGGTTAACAACTTAGTATAGATAACATTATTACTGAGAAGGGATTTAAGTCTCACTGGGTGCTCAATACTTAAGGCCTTGTGCCAAACTAACAAAAGCTTATTAAATAACTGATATCTTTGGGAACCTCAATATAACATAAGAGTTAGCAACCTAGTCTGGCTGACTATTACTACTGAATAGTGCATTTAAGTCTCACTGGGTGCTCCATACTTAAGGCCTTGTGCCAAATTAATCCAAGCTTCGTAACATACACCTTTGGGAACCTCAGCATAGCATAATCGTTAGTGAGCTAGTCTAGCTGACTATTACTACTGAGCAGTGTATTCGATTCTTACTGACTGCTCTATACATAAGACCTTAACTGGTCTAAAGCTACTAAATAACTAATAGATACCTTTGGGATACTCAGCGTAGGATAGTGGTTAGCTAGCTAGTCTGACTGACTATTACTGGTGAGTAGTGTATTCGATTCTCCTTGGCTGCTCCATACGGAAGACCTTGTACCAAACTATTCCAAGGGAAATTCAGAAGATGCGCGATCAAAGGTTATGCGCTGTCAGCATTTAGTTCCTTTTTATGAATCTTTTCTAAATTTTCTCTATCCAGGAAAAATGACACAAAATTCGCGAATTTCGAATCGTAAAAAGTCCGCGAAGTTTGTATCCTTTTTCCCAGAGACTTAAATGCACTTCTCAGTAATAATGGTCAGCCAGACACGGTTGCTAAACCTTATGTTACGCTGAGGTTCACACAGGTATCAGTTATTTAATAAGCTTGGGTTAGTTTGGCACAAGGCTTTAAGTATGGAGCACACAGTGAGACTCGAATACACTATTCAGTAGTAATGGTCTCCGTCAAGATTGTCACATGTGGAGACACCTAAGATATTTACCCATTTTATCTTAATTTAGGCCAGACGAATAGGGCACCCAGTGAGGATTAAACTCACTTTTTAATTGTAATGAGTCAATAGAACAGGTCGTTAAACATCACTTCGGTAGGATGAGGCTATTTACTGGCTTTTGTTACGAGCTTAAACGTTGGCGGTTTTTGTGTCTATTTCGCTTTCTAAGAAGTGAACAGATTCCACTTCGTTATAATCTTTTTTTAAAATGTCATGTTGTACATCATGTTGATATTATTCATCCTATATTCTTTGCTTTCCTACTGAGTATGCAAACTGTGTTTCACGGCCTTGAAGGTTGGGTGAGGACGAAAAATAACGATCTAGGTCGCGTTCCGAGACAAACAGACAGACAGAAAGATAGAGGATGTGATGAACAAAACAGTTGTGTCTTTACTGTTGTCTGCTTCTGTAGAATAATGGGGCCGTGTTTCGCGTCACTCGCCTCAGGAGGTGTCAACTCTGAAATTAAGTGTTTTTCGTCTTCATCACACTTCGGGACGTGCATGATCAAGGCTCTCCACAACGTCCTTTTGTATTTGTAGCTCTAAGTAATCTTCTACTATTTACGAATGGTCTACGTTGTGGTTTAACGGATACCGCATCCGAATACGAAATCGACGAGACGAGTTCGAATTCAAATCGAGTTTTTTAGAATCCTTTACGCACAAATAGACTTGGGAAAGGTATGAATCCATTTCTTCTCCCCCAGGAATGGGTTGAATAGTAGGACAGACTGGGTTCTGTGGCCTTGGTTGGCAACCAGTCTACTGTAGAAAGAAATGGGAAAAACCTTTTAACTATCTTGTGATATATTGAAAGACGCTTGATTTCCTATCTATCATAAATTCAAACAAAGCTGAATTAGTTTATATTCGTTTAAGTTTGTCACAAAGGACTTTTGAAACTGCAAGGTAGCATTAATACACCCCGAACCACCTATCTATATTTCTGAGATGAGGTATTATGTACACTATTTACATTATTCGGACTATTGTCCTCATCTTTGTTGCCATATTTATTACAACGTTTCGACTTTTCAGTATCTGTCTATATTTCTGAGATGAGGTATTATGTACACTATTTACATTATTCGGACTATTGTCCTCATCTTTGTTGCCATATTTATTAAAACGTTTCAGCCCTTCAGTATCTGTCTATATTTCTGAGACGAGGTATTATGTACACTATTTACATTATTCGGACTATTGTCCTCATCTTTGTCGCCATATTTATTACAACGTTTCAGCCCTTCAGTATCTGTCTATATTTTTGAGATGAGGTATTATATACACTATTTACATTATTCGGACTATTGTCCTCATCTTTGTTGTCATATTTAGTACAACGTTTCGGGCTTTCAGTATCTGTCTATATTTCTGAGATGAGGTATTATGTACACTATTTACATTATTCGGACTATTGTCCTCATCTTTGTCGCCAATATTGATTAAAACGTTTCGGCCTTTCAGTAACTGTCTATATTTTTGAGATGAGGTATTATATACACTATTTACATTATTCGGACTATTGTCCTCATCTTTGTTGCCATATTTATTAGAACGTTCTGGCCTTTCAGTATCTGTCTATATTTCTGAGATGAGGTATGTACACTATTTACATTATTCTGACTATTGTCCTCATCTTTGTCGACATATTTATTACAAAGTTTCAGCCTTTCAGTATCTGTCTATATTTCTGAGATGAGGTATTATGTACACTATTTACATTATTCGGACTATTGTCCTCATCTACCCCAGTGAGCGAAATAAAGGGTTCAGTTCGACATTCCAACCACCTGAAGAAGGCCGGAGCGTACAACGGACGAAACGTTGTAATAAATATGGTGACAAAAATTAGGACAATAGTCCGAATAATGTAAATAATGTACCCCGAACTACGTTAACAGTGTAATAATAAAATTTACGTTTTCTTTGAATTGATTTTGAAAAAAACTTTCCCCAGCTAGTTTGCACAATATGGCAGCACGACTTTTAGCTTTTCATTATTCTGTGTAACGTCATTCATTTTTTATTTCTGCCCATTGAATCCTCAAATTCCTGTAACGGGGCATTAAAGGAGGGGGTGTCTAAGGCACTCGCAAGGGAGCCATGGTCCTGAGGATGTGATTTCAAGTGGTTTTTGGTACATGAGGAAGTCCAGCGGTAATGAAAATGACTTTGCTTGATTTCCAACGTGACTTTCGGATAATATTCTTTAAATCCGTAGCTGTCAAGGGATTGGAGGTCTCACAATCGGATCGCTTCTTCATTGGCGAAGGATCCCTCAGGAATCGTCTAACCGTGTTCATATGACGACCTAACTTCTCCGTAATGACATGAAGTGAGGTGCCTTTAGCAGTTTTCTTGATGACGACGGAGTCTTCTTTATCGCTGAGGCCTTTTCCACGTCCTATTGTTCTTAGAAAGAGGAGACGCCAAAAAAATGTTGAATTTGAAATAAAAATATAAATGACGTGACACAGAATAATGAAAACCTAGCAATAGTGTTGCCATATTATGCAAATCAATTAACGAGATTCGGGGTGTATATTTTGGAACGTTATTAGAAGAAGCCAGAAACTATACTGGGTGCCAACCGCCTGCATACGGATTGAATTCAGTAAATATACAACTATAGAAATTATGTGTTTCTCATCGGATTTACTCAACTAATAGAGGGAAGCGATTTTGGGAGTTAGAAGTCCTATCATGATTCATTATTGGTGGCTACAATCTTAACAACAAAAGATATGCAGATTACACAGTGATGATAGCAGATGCAGATAGAAAACTACAACAACTTCTATGTATGGAAAGCGAAAAGAAAGCACTAAATTTCAATAAGACAGGACTTATAGTTGTCAGCAAAAGAGACCGCCGAACATGCAAATTACAAATTGGGGATAACAAAAAAGTATAAGAATTTAAATAATTAGATGTTTATAAGGAGGACGGAAAGGGCAATAAAGAAATTCGAAGGCGAATTGGGATTAGAAAGGTACCTTTCAAAAGCTAAGCGAAGTATAAAGGAGGAGAAAACTTTCGTTACAAACAAAGAAGAGAATATTGGACTGTAATGTAATTAAGTCAAAATGTCTACTAATATACAATAAATATTAGTATATTTATTATCAATATTATTATTTTTCATGTTTTATCTCCCGAATTTCTTTCACCAGCTAATTATATCTACATATATCTACATATTATAAGAAGCATGCATGGATAATCTTTTTTTTACAATATATGGGATATATATATATATATATATATATATATATATATATATATATATATATATATATAAGTGAGCATAGAAGTCAACAATTAGAGGCGTCAGGCCTGATGATTGCATCTAGCTTGAAACAGACTGTCGCCTCTAAGTGTTGTCTTCGATGTTCACTTTTATATTTACACACGCTCTATCTTTGATATTGAGCACTTTATCCCATAAATATAGCACACCTTAAGACTATATTTCTTCATATATATATATATATATATATATATATATATATATATATATATCGGGTTTGAGCAAAATTGTACAAATCGTATAACAGCATGAGATAATTGTCATACCACAAAATGTTTAATATAAAAAAGAAACACACTAAACTAACTGAGTTACATTTTTCAGGTCTTCAGATAAGATGTTTAACCATACAAGAATTCCTGAAAAGCACTTCAACTAGAAAGAGGACAGGTTAAAATTATTTTTGTGTCAGTCCCACTATGTCTTTCCAACTAAGCAATGGTGATATGAAAAATGTCATTCAAGCCTTCAGTAATGGTCCCGACATTCATATTCTGGCTCCCATTTTCAAAGACCATTCAAGAACCATAAAGAGAACGGTGAATAAGTTTAAAAAGAAGAAAGAGTATAGAGGAAAACTGTATCAAGAGGTCACAACAGAAAGACACATTATCATTTGAACTTAGAACTAAAGAGATCAGTTAGAAAAGATCCAACTCAGTCTATAGAACGTTTCGAACATGAAGGAGGCGCTCCGTCTATGACAGTCCAAAGAGCAGAGAAAAAAAAGACTTGAAAATGAAATCGTCCGTGAAACCTGTGATGTACCTTTTTACAACAGGGTAGAAAATTATATGGTAAGATAGCGAAGATTAACTTGAATAAGTTTGAAAATGATGCTGCAATAATATATATATATATATATATATATATATATATATATATATATATGAACTTTATTCCAATCTTTCATGAGTTTCCAATCCTTAGCTATGATTAATTAATGATGAACATATCATTTTCGTTTCGATTTCATCAGGATTATTCTGTTAAACCTCGAGGGTAATTATACACTCAATCTAATAATTGGACAATTTTGCTGTTACACGATTTAAACAATTTTGCTGTTACACCGGTATATATATATATATATATATATATATATATATATATATATATATATATATATATATATATATGAAATCCTTCATTTATGCACGTTTCATTAAAAAGGACGGGCAAGGTACTACGATTAACCTTTTTATTTATTTTTTCTTGTGTTCGAACAAGTGTTTTCTTCTTGGGACATAGAGGGTGTAGAAACTGTCCAAATCTTCTGTAACTCCGAAACTCCGAACACTTTTGGCTCTACTTTTAGATGGTATATCTATCTATCTATCTATCTATCTATCTATCTATCTATCTATCTATCTAAATGTCAACATAACAAAATATCATCTTCGATGCTGAATATCTTTGTTTAAATATCTGTATAACCATATATATATATATATATATATATATATATATATATATGTATGTGTGTATATATATATATATATACAGACACAGACACACACACACACACATATATATATATATATATATATATATATATATATATATATATATATATATATATATATATATATATATATATGTATGTATGGCAGACCAACGTTGTCAATCTATTTTAGCTGCTCCCTTCTTTCGTGATAGTCACTCCTCCCTGATTACAAACGCTGGCGCTAAGAAGACCTACATTAACATTTTACTATTTTACATTAACTTTTACATGTAATTTTGTTTCAGTTTTCATGTCTGTACTGAATAATCTTTGTCATTACTACTTCCTTTTCTTCTCTCTCGGTGTTTCTTCAAGCCGACTAATAAATCTATGAAACTGGCAGGTCCCCTCTGTGTAGCTCGCATTTTTATTTAAAATGAATGAAAATAACAAATGTGCTTTTAAGTGGAACTAACATTATACGACAAATGTCTAAAAACACATCCCTTCTTTGGTTGAATAACTTGGAAATAATTCACATCCAAGAAGTTGTGAAACATTCAGATTGTCTTATGTTTCCCAGTAGACTCTTATCATCCATTAACGTCACGTGATATTGCCTTTCATTAAGCAGACGATATCTTAATGGGGATATTCGTCAGCGTTTTGATGTCGGAACAGATTTGGGAACATTCTTTTTCTCCAGGCATTTCTTTATAAATTCGTTTATAGATTCTTCTTCTATGTGCATGTCCCTTCATGACGTTGATGATCATGGCTCTCCACTATTTCCATTCCTTTGTATTTCTTTAAATTTCTTTTAATACTGTCTTTTTGTTATCTCACCTAAAACTTGTTCCGCTATCCATTTACTCAAGCTCTCTAGGTGGGTCGTGCGTTATTTTTCTCTGTCCCTCTTGCCTTCAATCTATTCTGCGAGTATTAAAATTTCCAAGCCGCTTTTCCTCATTATGTACCTTCGAAATTTTGAATGTCGCTTTTTGATGTTAAGTATGTGTTCTTTTCACCACCATTTTTCTAAAACCTCGCGCACAAAGACGAAAGTATGAGGCATCCAGTGAGGATCAAACTCTCTGTAATCGGTCTGTTTATGAGTTGATATTAATTTTAAATAATTTTATATTGAAAATTTCAGCTTCCATTTTTTTTCCACCTGTCACATGATGGTGCACTGACTATTTTTTTCCATTAATTCTAATAGTTAAGAGAATACAAAAGAAGGTTTATTCGTGACAGATTCTGCTTGTTTTACTTTAAGAAAGGTAAAAATTCAACTCAAAATCGAATTTGTACAGTTTACAGAGAAGATAAAATGACCGGCTGAACGTTTGAAAAATGAATATTTCTCAGTGAATGATACAACACAGAAGATAAGCAATATCATGAAAATGTCCCAATCAAGCCTTCACAAATGTTTGTGCCACATTGGTTATGATATTCGCTTTGATGTGTGGCTTCCAAAGAATCGAGAAAACCTCTCCGTTTCTATGGGAAATACGTGAAACAACTGTTGTCGAGTGATAAAAAAAAATATTTTACAAGAATTTTGAATGCAAAATATTGTGGAACTAGTGAAATGAGTAAACACTAACGTACCAAAGACCGTCTTCATTCAAAATGCGTGATGTCAGGAGATATAAAAGGAAATTCCATGAAAGCCTTTTGTAGAATCAAACGAGTAACTCGAACTAGTACTGTTCTTTGTTATGGTAGGAATCCATAAAAACATCGTGGAATTACTACAAATTTTGGAAATTTTTAAAGCCTGTCTTGTTTTATTTCATTTGGCATATTCACTATATATATATATATATATATATATATATATATATGTGTGTGTGTGTGTGTGTGTGTGTGTGTGTGTGTGTGTGTGGTAATTCAAGTCTCTACTCTCCGCTAAGATACTGAGAATGTTGCTGAAGAGATTAAGAGTCTATTTAAAAATTATTATTATTATTAAAAATCACCAGATACCTGATGCAAACAATGGAAGGCATGAAACCTAATAATACTATCGATAACCGTTTGTCAACTGACATCATGGAAGTTTCGAGTATCAGAGTGTCACAGCGATTTTATTTCACTCTCTTTTTTTTCTTTTTCTTCTTTCTTTGAATGGAAAAGAAGCAATAGATAGCGTCGTTCATTAAAGGGATCAGTTTTTCTTTCTTTCTTTCTTTATTTATTTATTTATTAATATCTCCTTATTTTTCCTTCTTTTTTCTTTATTAACATATCACTTTCCTTCACTCTTTCTAAATTTGTCTCTTTCTTCCTATTCTTCTTTCTTTTTTCCTTTTTTTACTGCTTTCTTTCTTAACGTCCAACTTTTATTAATATTGTCACCAACTTGTATATGTTGATTTCATATTTAATATGCATAGAATATCAATATCAACTGCAAAAATATACATGGAACGCTTTTGAATTCATCTGATAATAAACGCCCATAGGATTTCCATCCGATCCATCAGCTATGAAGAATATGAAACCTTTAAATAAGTAAATTGTAAGTTCATAGGAACGACGAGAGAAAATTCAGTAGTGATTTCAAGATAGAGAACGAACACCTATATTTTCTTTCTTTCTATTTCTTCTTTTCTTTCTTTCTTTCTTTCTTTCTTTCTTTCTTTCTTTCTTTCTTTATTAATAAGTCTCAATTCTTTCTTAACTCATCTCATTTTTTCTTCCTTCCTATCTTTCTTTCATTCATAACATGTCACTATTCTTTCTTTTTTTGTTGTTAAGATGATTCTATTATTATTTCTTTCTCGCTTTCTTTCTGTCGTCCTTTCTACATATGCCTCTATTCTTTCTTTCTTTCTTTCTTAAGATGTCTCAATATTTTTTCTTTTTTCTTTCTTTATATATCTTTATTCTTACTTTCTTAACATGTCTCTATTCTTTCTTTCACTTTTTCGCAGAATGTCTATTCTTTCTTTCTTTCTTTTTTGTTCGCTTTATGTCTCTATTCTTTCTTTCTTTGTATATCTCTATTGTTTGTTTCTTTCTTTTTTGTTCGCTTTATGTCTCTATTCTTTCTTTCTTTGTATATCTCTATTCTTTCTTTCTTTCTTTTTTGTTCGCTTTATGTCTCTATTCTTTCCTTCTTTGTATATCTCTATTCTTTCTTTCTTTCTTTCATTCTTTCTTTCGCAATATGTCTCTATCCTCTCTTTATTTCTTTCGCAGCATGTCTCTATTCTTTCTTTCTCCATTTTTTTCGCCACATCTCTCTGTTCGTTCTGTCATTCTTTCTTTCTTTTGCAGAACGTCTTTATTCTTTCTTTCTTTCACAACATGATTCTATTTTTTCTTTCTTTTTTCTTCCTTTTTGGTTTCGCAATATGCCTCGATTGCTTCTTTCTTTCACTGTATGTCTCTATTCTTTCTTTTGTAGAATGTCCTTATTTTTTCTTTTTTTTTCTTTCTTTCGCAGAATGTCTTCATTCTTTCTTACCCGATATATTCTTTCTTTCTTTCTTTCTTTCTTTCTTTCTTTCTTTCTTTATATGTCTATTCTTTCTTTCTTTCGCTGTATGTCTCTATTTGTTCTTTCTTTCTTTCATTCATTCGCAGAATTCTGTATCTTTCTTTTTTTCTTTCTTTTTTCTTTCACAGAATGTCTCTATTCTTTCATTATTCTTTTTTCTTTCTTTCGCTAAATGTCTCTACTCTTTCTTTCTTTCTTTCTTTCTTTCTTTCTTTCTTTCTTTCTTTCTTTCTTTCCCAACATGTCTCCTTTCTTTCTAAATGTGTCTCTATTCTTTCTTTCTTCCTTTCTTTCTTCTTTATTTCTTTCGCAATATGTCTCTATTCTTTCTTTGTTAAGGAAAATAACATGGACATTGTTGATAAAATAAAACACTCTTGAAAAACATTATTACCGTCTAAGGCAGTTAAAGCAATAGTAAGAAAAAGAAAAAAAAATGGAATTTTCGCACCCTCCTCCTCCCCCTCTAAAATAATGACGCAAAATAATCTGCTACTGTCAGCCAAATATCAGTGCCGAAACCGAAAATCATTATAAGAAATCATCATCATCACCATTATCATCATCATCATCACCATTATCATCATCATCATCATCATCATCATCATCATTATTATTATTGCACAGAGAGATCGTGAAAAAATATTCTGCGTGTAGAATGTGATATTTTATATTAGATGAAATATTAAAAGGGTTTTGTATATGTCCTGTCTTCCTTCAGGGTGAGGGCGACCATGCCTCTCCACAGCTTTCTATCTTTTGAAACTCTTAGCAATGTTTTTCTTTTACTATGCTTCCTACTCATTGTTCTCTTATCCGTTTAGACATAATCATTTTTTATGTGACTCGAAGTTTCCCTCTTGCCTTCATTATTTACTGTGAGTGTCAAATTCTCCAAGCCTTCTTTTCGTATTACGTCTCCTAGAAATATCTACTGTCTCTTTCTGACTCTAAGAGCTCCTTTGTTTCCATTTTTCTTTAAAAAGATTTTTCGTCCATAGAATTCTCAGCAGGCTTCTATGGTACCACATCTTTGTTGTCTCAAGACACCTCGTCCACAGTGAGGAAATCGTCCCAGTATTTACAGTCCTATGGGTGATTGATATTACAATGGCCACAATTTTTTCTTTGTTCATATCGAAATTTCCCTGTTTCTTAATACTTTTAGATTTTGGATGGTATATTTCACTTTTCTAGGACGCCTTTGGTTCTCTCAGGTCACAGTTTACATTGTTCCTTGTCGCATTTACTGGATAGTTAAATTTCTATACCCGCTCGATTCTGACATCTCTAATTCGTAAAAAGTGAAAAGCAGGTGGCTGTTAAAAAAAAACAACATAAAACGCAACTATATAAAAGAAAATGTCGTATCAACTGAAAAAGCGTTTCTTAAAACGACGCATACGGCTAAATGGACGAAGAAACAGAAGGTAGAAGATAAAGAAGAAATGTTATTAACAAATCGACACTAGCAAAAGTAAGAGAGAAAAAATTCTATAGGAAAATCCTATAAGGAAATTCTTCAGAGAATTCAACGAAGCCCATAGAAAAAATGGCGACTAAAGTAGGAGAGTCCTGGGATGAATTACAGGGAAATGAAAAGAATTTTAAGAGAATCGCAGTATGGATTGAGAACACCGAACAGAAGTATACACACACACACATACATACATACATATATATATATATATATATATATATATATATATATATATATATATATGCCAGACCACCCATAATCCCGTTGGTTTTCTTTTTTTAAAAGCAGTTTATGATACAAAATAATGAGGCAACAATATTGTTAATTTTATTAATATTGTTTCTCTCTTTTTAAAATGTCGCTATCTTTTCTTTCTTTCTTTCTTTCTTTCTTTCTTTCTTTATTTCTTTCTTTATTTATTTCTTGATATATCCTCATCATTCTTCCTTTCTTTCTTTTCCCTTTCTTTCTTTCTTTTCCCTTTCTTTCTTTCTTTTCCCTTTCTTTCTTTCTTTCTTTCTTTTCCCTTTCTTTCTTTCTTTTCCCTTTCTTTCTTTCTTTCTTTCTCAATATATACTTATCTTTCTTTCTTTCTTTCTTTTTTAATATATCCTCATATTCATTTCTTTCTTTTTTCTTAATATATCCTTATCTTTCTTTCTTTTCTTTTCTTTTCTTTCTTTCTTTCTTTCTTTCTTTCTTTCTTTCTTTCTTTGTAACATGTCCCTATTCTTTCTTTCTTTCTTTCTTTCTTTCTTTCTTTGTAACATGTCCCTATTCTTTCTTTCTTTCTTTCTTTCTTTCTTTGTAACATGTCCCTATTCTTTCTTTCTTAACATTATACAATAGCACGCAATAAGAATTCGATTAGATGGAAAATTTTTCAGAATTTGTGGAAAAAAATGTGCAAGAAATTGGTATGATCGCCACTCAGACCCGGTTACAGAGATTAGGTCCTAGAACAATTTTATGGGACTTCAAAATATACACAGAGAGAACAATCAAAGCTAATGGCGCAGACATCGTTATTAAAAACCGGAAAGACAAAATGTGCTTCCTTATTGACATGGTAGTCCCTGCAGACTGCAATGTATCTTTGAAGATCTTCAGAAAGTTATCAAAATACAAGCACCTTGAAATCGAAATCTCAAAAATGTGGCACATGAGAACATTAACAACTCCAGTTATAGTTGGAGCCCTCGGATTGATTGGAAAAGATTCCAATAGACTCATTGAAGGGATTCCTGGTAGCGCATTCCTTAAAGAAATAAAATCATTGTTCTCACGACTACAGCCCACATCTTACGAAGGGCTTTATCTATGTGAAATATGTGTAATCTTAGGTGTCTTTTTTGTTGTTTTCTTTTCTTCTCCTCAAAAAATCCTTAGTGGAAAATGCCATGATGCTATTTTTGACCTTAGGTCTCTGGTTGGACTACGGAAGGAAATTAGAATACACCAGAATCTAATAATAATAATAATAATAATAATAATAATAATAATAATAATAGAATAGAATATAAAGAAATGAATGACTAGAAATGTGGAAACGTATAACCAATTTTAGTATTTATCAATTTATAATTTTCAAAAGTAAAGATAAATCCCGCCCACAAAGAAAATCAAACAGCAATCGTCTGCTTAGTGAGATTCATATTTATTGAAATAATATGCCTCCTTCTTGTGCACTTAGTTTTACTTTCTTTTTATTTATTTTTTTTTCAAAATAATAAGTTTTTAAAATAATAAGTTTTTAAATAAATAATATTTTTTTTATTATAAATACTTGTTTATTTCTCACGTTTATTTAAAAAAACATAACGGTGGCAAACCAACGTACTTTGATGTATTTATTTAATTATTTGTCACCAAGTCATGTAACACCATCTCCCGGCCATGCAGATTATGTTTTACAATGACGCACACACATAACCTCTTCACCTATCAAGTACTTTCCAAACATCCGAGGTATTTGTTTATAAAATGTTCTAATGTAGTGTAGTGAATTGAAATATATTTTATGTTATATATCTTTACATTTATTTAATAATGTTGTTATAATATAATAATGATATTATAATGTATTGTAATATATAATGAATGCTTATTATAATGTATAATAATGATATTATAATGAAATTATAATGTATTATAAGGTATAATGAACGCTTGTCATTTTTCGAGCACATAATAGTTGGACTATAATGAGCAAGTGTTTTGAATGATTATCAAAAATAAATACTGAATTGCCTATTAAAAATACCGTATAAACAGGGAAAAGACCCTAGGCCAAGAACCCCTTTTCTAATTATAATGAGATTTGGTACTGCACTCAGTAGGGTAGGTAGGTACAATATGCTCCGGAAGTGGTTGGGATATTACGTATCGTTTAAGCTGCATATTGGGAACAAACACACATACATACAAGATTAGTGTTTTAGCATCATAGACGGAACACTTGGGGCCGTCGATAGCTGTGCTAGAACGAAGACACGTGGCCGAGGCCGTGAGTGTGCTGGCCTTGTTCAAATTGTTGATCACGCTAGATAACACGCTCTTTCCCTGTAACTTAGGTCTGATCAGCATAGTTGCAGTATAAACCACAGCTTGGCTCTAAGGGTGTTGAACAAGACACAAATGTGCCTGAGTGAGCGTCTGCCATAGGGATTGGCTAGCCGCCATGGTAGACGGGTATCCTCGAATACGAATTGCCAGCTATTATATATATATATATATATATATATATTATATGAATCATTCATACGAAATGTAGATTAGTAAAGTTAATTATATAAAATGGCGAAAAACACTTCGTAAAGTTTTTAAAGTTACTGTCAGATGTCCAGAAATTGCTGTCGCTTTCTGACAGCACTACGTCTAGTCTCGCCGAAGCCTAGAAGAGCAGTGCCCTCCCACGTCCACTCGCCTGGTTTTTAATGGGTAGCGTTGTTCTCTTATGCAAAGTCTGCTGCATAAAAATGGCAGTAGGCGACCAACTCTCAGAGAATGGTTCGACACGTGAGGCAGCGAATTCATTTTGCTCTTAATAAGTCACTGTCACTTCTATTACAGTTACATTAACCTACGAATCACTCGATGAATGTTATGATCCCTGTTTTAAATAACTACAAGTTGTATAAGGTCTTTCTTTTAAATCTTCTAGTACTTTCAGCTGTACATACAGCCATCCTCAGGCATGGAGATTAATTTGTTTTTTTAGTAAATCCAGATAGTAGAGGGACACGAAAGATTAAATGTGAATCGAAATATGTTTTTCGAAATGTGTTATTGTTAACGGATAAGAAATTTTGGAGCGTGCAGTCGCAACCCTAAGGTTGATTTTTTTTTTCGAAAATTTAAGAGAGTGCGTTTCTTTACTAAAAAAAGTTCTTATCCGTTAAGCTTCAAAAGAGAGAGACATGAAATGAATAGAAAGGGAACAGCATAGACATTAAAGAAGTACAACAAACTGTACCAAATACTGTCTATCCCTCACGATAGACGATTGTGTAGCGCAGAGATGCAAATCTTGTGCTGTCCCGACGTCAAGATCTTCCTCGCGGCCTTGTCGGTAGAATCTAAAAGAAAAAGTAAACCCATACACTTTGGTACTAGCGCGGCTGCAGAAGTTTCTGGATGATGATGCTGGGCGCCAACCAACTGCCATAATCCAGATTTATTTCGGATTGACGCCTATATGCCAGTATAATTTAGTTTTCCTTCTCTTATAACATCCTGTAGCAAAGGCAAGAGAGTCCAGTTTACCCTACTATTACCTAGCTGGAGGAAATCTTTCCATTAGTAGAAGTTATGCTTTCTAATTCTATAACAACCAGAGCAATGCTTTACTTAATTAATCCCAGAAATTGATGTCATTTGAACTCCTAAAATTACCAACCCCTTCTCCACAGACGAAACGTTGCAAGCATCTTTTTAGTCTATCAACACTTCCATGAAAGATATTCAAACGAGCCACATTCCTTAGTTCTTCCAACTCTAACACCCCCAGCTAAGACTCTCCACGTCGCATTCCTTCCTTAAGAGACTTAGTTCACTATTAAAGCTGTATATATTTAAGAAGGATATTATTTATCAAGAAATTATACTAGGAGCAAACCGCATTCATAAGGATAAAAAAAATAGATTCAGCAAACATGCAAAAATATAAAGGGTGTAAGAGAAGGATGTGGAAAGATAGGATCGGATTTATCCAAAGTTTAAAGCGTGTCGATTCTGAAACAATTAGAATTCCTAACAGAATTCAATATTAGCGGCCGCAATCTTGACAACTTTAAATACGCAAGTGGCACACAGTGTTGATAGCAGACACAGAAAAGAAACTACAAGAACTTAGAATTTTGTGAAGGAAAATGAAAAGGAAGGAGTAAACATCAATTGTAAAAAAAAAAACAGAATGTAAGTTTGTCAGCAAAGAGAAGTGTCTGTCGAATCCTGCTACCACTTTCTTATTAATGTTGAATTTTGTATATTTTTGTGCAAAAAGTGGATCAGGGAGCCTACTCAGCTTAGTAAATATTTTCAGGAAAAATCAGCTTCTAATTGGTCAATAAACACACAAGTGGGCGTTGCAATCCACCCACGTACAAATATTTTTCCAGCGCGTGACCAAGTCAAGTTTTTCCACCATTTTTTGTGAGCCTGTCACGTGATTACATTAATTATAAATAGCAGACACAAGCTCGTTGCTTTCTCTTCTCTACTCTTCCCTTTTCCGGCGGAGATGTGACCTTGAAAGATTCTCGTCTTGACCATGGGCGATCAGACGTTAAAAGCATATTCACGCATACACGTACGTATGAAATTTTCCAACCTACATTACAAGCATACGAAACATTTCCAAACATGAAACAAGAACTTTTCTCTTTGAAATATTCTTCTAAAACTACAGTTTATTTAGCATTTCTCAGCTTTGTAATTAATTCAACATTTGTGAATTCAGATAAAAATATTCACAGTCTAAGGGACATAACACCAACAAATCTTTAACTTCTACGCATGTACATCAATACACACAAATAAATACAAATATTATTGTTTTAAAAGCATTTTGTTCCTTCTTGTATTTTGTGGTATTTTTTAATATAAATTGTGTGGTTTATTCTTATTAAGATACCATTACATATGGTAACCCCGACGTTTGACATGGGGCGAGAAAAAGAAATAGACCACTACAAAGTCCGACATCTGATTTACAAATTGGAGATACCAAAATCAAGCAAGTACACAAATTTAAATATTTCTGAAGTGTTTTAACAGGCAACACAAAATGCAGCACCGAAATCCGATGGTACATTGAGATAACGAAAAATGCCTTCCAAAAATAAGCAAATTATGAAGAAACAGGAAAATTTCGTAAGGAAAAATGAAAAGAAAACTAAACTGTTACGTAATATCAGTCTTCCTACATGGAATTGAATACTGGACAATCCTCTCACAAAAGATACATGAAGCAATAGAAATGTGGTTTTACAGAAGGATGCTGAGAATACCATGGATCGAACATGTGACCGGCGGCGAAGTTTTAGAGAAAAGGGAAACGAAAAAGACACTTATACTTAACATCAGAAAAGAGATTGTTGAAATTTCTAGGGCACATAATGAGGAAAGATGGCTTGGAAAT